TTGTTTCCATTTTTTTTCTTTTCTCATAATTTTTCCTTTCCATTCTTTCCTTTCCCCATCTCCTCCCACCACCCCTACCCCTTTGGACCTTTTCCTATTTCAAAGTATCAATTATTAGTTATTAACCCTTTTAATCCTAAGTAGCCCATTTAGATCAGAGGCTGGGTGTGTTATGTTGGCTTGAGGAAAAGGACACATTATTGGTCACAGAAAATAATTCATCTAATTTTCAGTGAACAAAATGTTGAAAAGCTGAAGGACAGAGTTATATTTCAGGAGATCTTGACATGGCAGAATAGTGAGCTCAAATCAATGAGACCAGGTATAGCACGAACACAGGGCACAGGATATGGTCCATGACACTTCATGTGCAAAGGTCCTAGGAGCACTTGAGATTAATGGCCGGTGTAAATTGTTGTGAAAGCAAATACAGTCCTTGGTTGACTCCAACAACAGGGGGTGACTGTAGTCAGGATTGTAATCATCACACTCAACAGACCACATGCAGAAGCTGTTGCATGGGCCCCCATGCAGCTTGTTAGCAAACAAGGGCTCTATTCTGAGACAGTGGCCTGGAGAGTGAGCCCCTGTTCACCGAAGACCACCTGAAGGGGCTGGAGAAGCTCACCCTGGAGGGCGAGGAGTAGAGTGGGACTCATGTATTATGGATCCTGAAGCTGATTTATTTGGAGAGCCCCATTAATGGAGGGTATCATTTAGAAAAAAAAAGAAGACAAAACAAATCTAGGAGTGTGGGCAAGTAAGGCATCTTGAAGCTTAAGCTTCATTAGCTTCACAGTCAACCTGCCTCTACTGGAAAGGAGCAGATTTAATGAGCACACAGGTAGGTTTTTTTTAAAGAAATTTTAGGGCAGAGGAACCTGATTCATTTTCTATGCTCCAGAGGGCAGAAACAGAACCAGAGGATTCACTTTGAAGGGATATTTCTAACAACTCGATAATGGAAAAGTCAGCGTTCAGAAGCAGTAAGTCCCACATCTCCAGATATATTTGGGTAGAGACTTGATCCCATGGAGAAGTCCCCTGCCTTGGAGAGAGGTTGGACTAGATGAAGGATTTTAAATTGTACTTAACAGCTCCCTGGGGTGCTCAGGGGAAATAACTCAGGCCCTCTTCCTTTAGACAGAATGGTTTAGGGTATTTGCTTTAGTTTATAAGCTTCAGTAAGTCTTCATTTCTACCAAGAATTCTACTTCTTAAGGACAGAGGGAAAAACAAGATGGAGAAGAGAGAAAAAGAAGAGAAGCTTTGCAAATGACTAAAACATATGACTTTAGATGCCCCTTTTGCCCCTGTGCTTGTTATTCTCATCTCCTGTTGAGCCTGGCGGGAGCCCAGGGACCACGAAAAGAAAGCTCCCACAGGTTTTTCCATTCCTTCTCATAGTTTTAGTGTGAATATGTGGGTGTGTGCACACATACAGCATTTCCTGTTACAAATTGATCTACTAGAATATACATGAATTCAGTCCTAATAACTCAAAACAAGCAATGAAATGGCCTTTTCTTAAGACCACACTCCCTGTGCTGCACTACATAATGGCTTTGAGAAAAGCACATGATATGTTCTTGGAGAGCAGAGACCATGACATTTTCTTAATCCCTCCAGGGCTCCACAGCCTCTTAATTGGCAGATTCTGTGAGAGGCCTTAAGCACAAATGTGAGATTTGGGGCCAGCTGGTTGCTGAGGGTAAGGAGAGAAGATTAATTTTACTATAGGTTAATGAGAGTCTTCTTGATGGAAGTAGGTTTTGACCAGTTGTTGGAGTTTGAATTGTATTTCTTCAGATGGCTCTAGGAAGAGACAGGATATCAGAGTAGGGTATGGTAAATAACTCCTTTTTAATCAAATAGTATTCTTCTATTAATAAAGAAAATAAGTACCAATCATGGCATATTTGAAATAGTAAGTGCTCCATAAATATCTGCCATACTTTTAAAACAGTTCCAGTCACTATACTGGGCATTTTACATGTATTGTCTTGTTTAAGTTCTGTGAAAATTCTGTGAAGTAGAAACAAACTAATATCAACCTTGTTTTGAAAACTGAATTTTAGAAAATGTAAACAACTTCCCAAGGACCTCAAAGCTAGTTAGTAGAGGGATAAAGTCTCAAATATTTGGTGGCCTGATCTAAAAACCAATGCTCCTAAATACTACACCGAATTTAAAACATATATATACAATACTATGAATAGTTATTAAAGTTTATTATTATTAGTATTTCCATATTAATTAACTACCATAATTTCATCTAGTCTTTCACTATGCTAGTTTTACATGTGAATTTATAGAATGCATAACATTTTAACAACTTTTAAAATTCAAGTTTATGATTTATAGATTTTCCAATGTGTGTTCAAGTCCTCCAAGAAGCAGACGGAATAACTGAATTACAACAGTTGCATTAAGGGAAATAGAAAGTTTACTAAAGAAAATTTCTTACTGAGAGAAAACAGGAAGAATGCTGAGGAGGTTTTCAAGAGTGGTGACAGTGGGGTGCAAGTCAAACCCTGAGGTTTGGATGGAGGAAAGGAAGGCATCCTAGGTTAGAGGCAGCCTGTCTTCTCATATAGACTAAGGAAAGTTTGACATGGATCAAAAAGCCCTTGAGCCAAAGACAGCTATTAGAGAAGTCTATGTTTCCTAAGAAGGAGCACTGGCCTTCAGGATACGTGGCAATGGTTTTCAGAAGTTCTGTAGCTGAGACATGTAGTATAGATGGAAGTCAGCGAGATACCTTTTCATCATGGCCACCACCTCATGATAATTAGTAAAATATCATACCAAATGTCTGCATAGTACTCCATCTATGGAAGTCCCATGGGTACTTCTATTTTGACGGTGTGGGTGTGTTTATGTTTTCGTTGTTATAATGGAAATTTCAATTTTTTATTTTACTAGTATTTTTTTCAATACATGATGTTTACATTCATCATAGGGAGTGGGTACATGTACTGAACATATCTTGATTCTTTTTATTCCCCTTTCTCTCTGCACCTCCTTCCCTCCTTCTACCTCTCTAGGTTCCCTTCCCCATTTTTGCTGTTATTGTTATTATTTTTTTAGTTCATGTTTGTGACATATAATGATTGCATTCATTGTGCATAGTTTGTACATGTGCCTGATGCACAAATAGTAGATTAGTAGAACACTTTTTGCTTTAAGGCTCCTGATGGGTTTTGTCAGACTGCATCCAGGTGAGGAGGTGAGAATTATGGCTGGACAGGAAGGTTGGGACCAGATTACAAATGTCAGGGTGAGACATTTCAAATTTATTTTCTTTCATTGAAGAGCTAAGGCTAGAATGAAATTGAACTGATATTTTAACTCCTTTCTGATGCAGGCATGATATGGGCTGAATGTAAAGAAATTTGGACTCAAGGTCCTAAAGAATACCTATTTGAGCTGTGGAATATGCTTGATTTTGGCATGTTAGCAATCTTTGCAGCATCATTCATTGCAAGATTCATGGCGTTTTGGCATGCATCCAAAGCTCAGAGCATTATCGATGCAAATGACACTCTGAAAGACTTGACAAAAGTTACATTGGGAGACAATGTGAAATACTACAATTTGGGTGAGTTTACATTACACACTCTAAATAAATTAATAAAAATGCAGAATTTTATTGTAAAAGAGTTGTCAGTAGTAGTTGAGTTACTGCCCAATTCTCATGAAACTTTTAAATTTCTAACATCTTTATTTGAAGAATGAGCATCTGTACCTGAAGAATCATACTTTTTGCTTCTTCTTTTGATTTGTCTACTGGCTGGAAACCTCTCTTCATCATGAGAATCATCCTTCTCTTGGATCAATTGTCTAATTACAAAGCTCCATCAAGAATTCCAATCTTATATCTTAGATTTATTTACGTTTCTCTTGCCTATTAAAACAGCTCACATTGCAATCATTTATGCACAATAGAATACTATTCAGCTTTATTAAAAAGAAGGACAACATTATAATTATGACAACATGGATGAACTTGGAGGACATTCTGCTGAGAGAAACAAGACAGGCCTGGATAGACTGCATGATCCCACTATTTGTGGAATCTAAAAGTCAACTTGTGGAAGTAGAGAGTGATGGTCATTGCTAGGAGGTGGGCAGGAAAGATGTTGATCAAGGACATAAGGTTTCAGTTAGACACAAGGAGTAAGCGCTGCTGTTCTGTTAGACAACATGGTGACCATGATCCATCATAATGTACCATGTACTTGGAAAATTGCCAAGAGATTAGATTCTAAATGTTCTTACCACACCCGTAAAATGTATGTGAGGTCATGGCTATGTTAATTAGCCTGTCTCAATCATTGTGAAATATCACATTTTACTCCATAAATACGTACAATTTTTATAAGTTCACATCAGGTCACTACTTCCATATAAGACATTAGAAAACAAAAGGAATGTTTGAGGTTTCTGAAAGGACTTCTATTAAAAACAACACTATTTACCAACCAGGCTTTGAACTAATTGAGAAACCAAAAAAGTTAACATGGAAGCAAGACCATCACCACTAATACTGATGAAATTCAGGATGAATAACATGGGTCTGGGTCTATCAGCCAATGGGATCAGTAATACTGAATCCCAGAGTTAGGGAGACTTATTCTCTAATTTCCAAAGAGCAGTGAACAAGAGCAGTCCTCCCCACAAGAAGAGGATGGAAGAAAGTGCCTAATCACATGAGAAGGCTCTGTGGAGGCCCAAAGAGGCTAATTCTGAACCGAGTAAACCCAGTCAGTCATCTCCATTTAATAATCAGATAAGTGTTCTCACTCTCCCACCTCCCTGAAGTGACTAAGGAATAGAAAGAAATAGGTTCAGTTGTGGAAATCAGTATGGAGATAACCCAAAGAACTAGGACTAGAGGACCCAGCTATTCCCCTGCTGGGTATCTTCCCCAAAGAATTAAAAGAATCATACCACAGAGATATATGTGCACCCATGTTTATAGCGGCACAGTTTGTAATAGATAAAGCTTGGAAACAGCCCAAGTGCCCATTAACTG